AGATTTCCATTTGGAGTGTTTTTTTAGATTAATTTATTAGATAAGATTAGATTAGAGGGAATTTGTTGTGAATATTAGTAAGACTGTTTGGTTCTTTTCTTTAGCACCACCAATAGCCAGTCTGTCTAACAATTTGTTGTTTGCATATACTGTACATATCTCACTCATTGATTTACCATCAATTTTTTGTAAATTAATTTTTATTATTTGTTCACTAATTCTTGTTGTCCAAAGGCCTGTCACAATAATCAATATATTGACTTATCGCACAACACATGGACATGACCTCAATCGTTTTTGGTTATGCAATGTACAGTATATCACCGTGGCCCATACATAAAAACCAGTTCTAGCAACATTTTAGCTGACTTTGCAACATCTCTATCTCTATTGAAGGTGTCAGTGTCAGTATGGTTAAAAAAAACTACTTTAGTATTGGCTATGAGATGACAATCAGATATCACAGCCTCTGTTACCTTTTACTTTGACAGGCTTTTTGGTTGACATTTATTTTTATTTATTTAGGATGTGTGTTTTCATATTCTGTTTTCAATGCCTAATTTGTATATTGTTAAAATAAACTAATTGAATGTTCCCAAGAATTAAATATTATTTGTTCTTTGGAAGTGTATTTGCATTATAATGCTATTATATTGTAATTCTGGCATTATATAAAGAGTCGCATAAAATTGTCTTAAAATGACAATAATATTGTTTATCGCAATATATCGTACAACAAAAAATAGATATTGTTACAGGCCTTGTTGTCCATCCTTATTTTGTAGCACAATTTACTTGAGTTTTTGCGTAACCAAATCCTCAGCTCAAGTGTGCAACCCCACTCCCCTAGCAGTCTAGGGGAGTGGGGTTGCACTCCCCTGCTGTTCTTTTAAAGATTTTACTCAAATGACCTTTTAAAAAATGTCAATTAAACTGAATTAATTTATATCTATCACATAAAATCTAAGGTATATTAAAACAGAAAACATTGCTATAATTTTTCACAGATTACTGTTATTGATGTTCGAGCTGATGATTTGTTAAATTATTTTTCACGCTTTATATTGTTTTGTAATATTAGTTTTATTAAGTTCATGTTCTTTAACACAAGTTTTGCATTCTTTGCAAGTGTGCCAGGCTCAGGATGAATCCTTGAATTAAATCAGAAATCTACTAATAAAAAAATGCAAAAGAATAAAACCAAAACACGTTTTTATTTTATGAAACGTTTTTTAAATTGCCTTTTTTTGTAAAATAGTTATTTATTCTTCAAAAATGCTTTAAAACATCTATTGAAAAAATGATTTCTGCAAAATTGTTACTAACAATTTATTTGGGTTGAATTTAAACAAACAAATTAAGTATAGTAATGTTCATCCTAATCTGTTTATTTAAATTCAGCACAAATAAATTGTTTACAACCACTTAACTTAAATTGAGTAAATCATAAATATCACCTCTGAATCTTTTTTATGTGTAGTTAAGTATATAGATTTCTTCCTTTTGAGTTGCCTGCTTCTAATAAGAATATTAATCATCATCATCATCATCATTATATATAATACTTAAGTAAAAGCTGTGATGAATGATTCTAGTCACACTGCCATACCGCTCAACTGTAATCTCAAGCATTAAACCCCTACAGCTGCAAAACACACAATGTCATTCCTAGTCACCAGAATCAATCAATGTTGTAAATATTGAGATGACAGCATAGTGCTGTAGTATGCAGAGAATGTCTTTTTTTGCAAGATGTACGATTTTTCTCTCTGGAATGTTTTTGTGTGACCTGGGTTTTTTGTTTGTATTTATAGATTGTTTAGCAGTTTTAAAACCCTTGTCAGTGTAGTTATTTTTTTCCTCGTTCATATCATACTACAAGAGAAAACTTGCAGAATGTCCCTATATCCTTATAGAGAATATGAGGTTAGTTTGCAGCTCTGTTTTCTTGATTGAAAGTCAGCTTAATGTCCCTTTAGAGAGTTGTACAGAATATTTGTCAAAACACTTGTACAGAGCTTGTTGGTTGCAGTATTAACAGGCTAATCGACAAACCTATTCACAGACATGCGTGAGTTTCATTTAAGCTGCTTTAAAACTATGTAGTGTGAAAAGTTCTTTACAAAAAAAGTTGTTGTTTTTTTGTGGTGAATTTTCGATCATTTATGAGCAATGTTTCAAACTGTTAAAGTTTTGGGTTAGTATTTTTACTAGTTTTATTGAATCATTTATAGGCATGGGACAATAACTGTTTTAGGATTTACTGCGATTCTTGAAAAGTCCAGATTTTAAAACTGCTAAAACTTTCTGATCCTGCGATATAAGTAAGTTTAAATGTTTTTAATTTTATTATTTATGTGTTGTTTTTACAACTATTTTATTTATTTTTTTAGGGCAACAGTATCTCCAGCTGAAAAGGACCCTTCACTGTTCCAAAATATTTCCAATAGTTTCTTAATTTAATTTGTTAAAGTAAAATATATTGTGGGGAAGAACATGTTTTTATTTATTTATTTATTTATTTATTTTTTATCCAGACATTTAAAAACAACATATTTTAGAGTAGTAATTACAATACCATCATATCGTGAAACAGAGATATTTTTATTCTGGGTTATCATACTGTCTGAATCTTAGACCGGCCCATGCCTAATCATTTGTCTGTTTATTAAAGAGCAATGATATTATACTGTAGAGCTGCACAATATATCATTTCAGCGTCATTATCGCAATTTGTGCATTTGCAATAGTCATATCGCAAAGATATGCAATGTTAAGTTGACTTTACAGTGTAATTTTCACATTTACATATACAAAACTATAATGCATGCACTGTTTATTTTACTTTTATCTTTGCTTTGTTGCATTTATCTATGCTTGTAGTTTACATGTATTGCATAATTTCCTTACAGAATCATCCCAGTTAATCAAAGTTCAAATTCATTCAAGTTCAATAAATTCAGTAACACTTAAGCAACCAATTTTTACTGTTAACTAGTTGCTTATTAGCATGCATATTATTGAGATACTATCAGCTTTTTAGTACTTATAAAGCACATGTTCTGTATGATCCTTTTCTACATCCCTAATCCTACCTAATACCTAAACTACCTTAATAACTATCATTAAGCAAAAGTCAAAATGGTTTGCTAAGAGAGGGAACTGAACCTTAAAATAAAGTGTGACGACAATTCTCTCCAAGTATAGCAAAGTGTATTGCAATATATATCACAGAATAACAAAATATCACAATATAAGTTTTCCAATATCGTAAAGCCCTGTTATACAGTGTGCACTGAACTGATCAATATTGATAGTAAAGAATTCACAAAATAAATATCACAAAAAATAGGATCATGAAAACGAAACCAGAAAAATTGTTTAAGCAAATCAAAAGGATTTCTGCAGAAAAATGCTGAAAATTCAGCTTTGCCAACAAACAATTCTTAAAGTTTATTAGCAGAAAGTTTTATAATTAGTGATAATCTCTTACAATGTTACAGTTTTTACAGTATTTTTATGGTCTGCTTGTTGAATTTAAGTTACATATGCCTCTACATGCCAACTAATTCTCATTAGATTATAAGTAGACTGTTAGGTTGGGGTTAGAGTTGGGGTTAGGGTTAGGTTGACATGTAGGCCCGTTTACACTAGTGCAATTTAGTTTTAAAACAGCATTTTAGAATGAAAACGATCTGCGTCCACACTAGCGTTTAACCCAGCGTTTCTGAACAGCCCTCCGCCTACACCAAAACACTAAAAACGCACATCACGTGACCACACACACTCTTTGACCGTGTCACTCTTTGACACGTGTCTAGACAGATGACAGCTGTGTTCATCAAGGATCTCCCGCTGGATATAATCTCACTATATTTGTTAAACGTAATATTTAATTCATCTTGTTTTCTATATCTAACGACATATTGCCCAATTTTGGTGTTTTGAATGTTTTACTTGTTCTCAGGTAACGTGTTTTGGCTGAGCGCAAAAATAAGTTAATAATTAATTTCACATACATTCTGCATATTGACTGATTGCTTGCATTAATTTCACATACATTCTGCATATTGACTGATTGCTTGCCTTTATTTTCTATAATGCATAAACTTAATGTACGTTATACATTACTATACTTTTGCAAAGTCTGAACTTACAAGGATGCAGGACTAAATTGTGTGTAGAATACTTAATATTGAGGAAAAGCCCCAATCAGAGAGGCGAATGTCAGCAGCCCCGCCTCCATTTTCAGATGTCTCAGTTTTTCCCCATACAGAGCAGCAACGTTTTAGAATGAAAATGGCCTCCTTAGCATTTCCAAAACGCTCCGTTTTTGGCGCTCGAAAACTCCAGCGTAGTGTGCACGGATGGCGTAACCGTAGCAAAACTTATGCGTTTTTAAACTAAAACGCATTAGTGTAAACGGAGCCGTACTTGCAAAGTTTCTTGTAGTCGGTTAAATGTCTGTTGAAGGAGCAGTATCAACAGATTTTAAGCAGACAGTCTACTAATACTCAATTGGACCATCAAAATAAAGTGTTACCCAGTTTTATAGGCGAGCAATAGAGGCTTGTAAAAAAGAAACATCCCCCAAAGCTTTAAACAGTAGGTATTTTGCATATTTCCTTAAATTTAGAGAAGTTGTATTCTGTATATTAAAAGGAAGTAAACTGAAGTGAGTTCATGCCAATTTGTTTAAAATGTTAAGCTATTTATGTAACGGAGGCCAGCTAGTGTGTGCTGTGCATGGTCTTTAGCCTCCTTGTTAGAGCAACCGACTCCCATGCGGAAGGTCGCCGGTTCGATCCCAGCTCAGAGCGGGTTGGGTGGTGTAGGACCGGCGGGGTTACATTTACATCAAGTAAAATGATGTTTCTACCGTTTTTTTTCTACTTCAGTATTGTAGAAGCCCATCATTTTAAATGGTATCACTTTTAGTGCTCAGTATTTTGCAACAATGGCATATTTATCATCATGTAATTTTGTCTCCCTTCTTGTAGGTGGTACGGTTATGCCAGAACCCCAAATTGGCCTTGAAGAACAGTCCTCCGTACATCCTAGACTTGCTGCCAGATACATACCAGCATCTCCGCACTATCCTGTCTCGATATGAAGGCAAGATGGAAACGCTAGGCGACAACGAGTACTTCCGTGTTTTTATGGAGAACTTGACCAAGAAGACCAAACAGACCATAAGCCTGTTCAAAGATGGCAAAGAGCGAATGTTCGAGGAGAACTCTCAGCCCAGGTGAGTAATCTAAATACAGCGTTATAAGGTGGTAACAATCATGGTCTTTATGGCTTTGTAGGCTGCAATCATTCAGAATGATGTTTTCGAATGTGACCAAATATGGAGTCAAGGTTTTGCATTTGACAAAGGTGTGAAAAGCAGACCTCTGAGAACTCCAGCCACCTCTGTGCAGACTTCCCTGAGCTAGTTAATGGTTTTTTGTTTGTTTTTTGAATTGCCTTGCAACATAATTCAGTGTGGGAGGCAAAAGCAGAAGCAGTGAAACAGTTCTTCTTCAGTCCCTGAATCATGTGAAAGAGTTTGGGTAAAGGTTACTCTGAGTTAAGCTGAAGCTCAAGTCGTATATCAAAGATGCAAATGAAGTAGAGCATGTAAGCGCTCACGGATCAGCCAGTGGACTGAGATCGTATCAGGCCTGTGCTTCTTCTGCTTCTCTGAAAATGCTAGGCTCATGTGAGCGGACGGAGGAGGAATGTGTAATGCAAATAGGACCAGTCACAAGAGGAAGAGCTTTACTGAGGCCAAAACCTCACAATTAACAGGTCGGTTGTATATTTTCCAGATGTAACCTTTGTTAGATTTGCATTATTCATTTGTAAAAGCGGTGTTATTTCATTATGTTAATCCATTTTCATAGCACAAGCTTCCAGCCAGTTGTGCATGCAGCTTTTCTGTAGGCACAAGGAATGCCTGTATTCACAGTATGAGCGTCAGTTAGTCGATCCATCAGTGGATCACTCATAGGTCAGCTTATAAACAGGGATGCAATGATTATAGATTTTGGTTGTACGATTATAGTTTGAGGAATAATCACTGTTTCACGGTTATCACAATTATTATGCATTCATTAATGTCAAAACAATACTAGTTTATTAAATCACTTAAACTCCTCAAATAAAACAAGCAATAGTCAATTTCTCTTTGGATTTAAAAATAAGTAAAGTTTTTGGCATTTAAAGTAATGCCAAGTAACTAATAGTCTTACACTGCAAAATGACAGAACAATAAATAAATAAATCAAAATAAGAATAAATCAAAGAAATGAGTATTTGTCTAATGTTAATCTAAGCTACATAGAATATTTCTCTTTTAAAGAGATCAAATGTATTCAATGACTGCTGAACCTCTGTCTGAAAGGGACTTTTGATCAATTATATTACAAAATCTTTAGGTATTTTCCTTGTGTATTTTTTTTTTTCTCTTTGGAGGAGAAATGTGCATATTCCATATAAAGTTTGAAGCTGACTGGTCAGTTCTTGTCACTCTTTCACTAGGTGCACATGGAAAGCTGCCAATATGCGCATGCAAGCCGCGCACCTCCATTGTAATAGCGAACTTTAATACCTTCAGCCATAAATAAAGTCTGCTTTTGATCCAGTGTGCTTGCTTGTTGTGTAAAAGCTCTGATAGGGCTGGGCAATTAATCGAAAAGTAATCAAAATTCAGAATTTATGATCTATCAAACCTTTCATGGTCAATTTTTTCAATTACCTTCCCCACCCAACACAATCTCACGGCAAACTTTTTCATTTAGTGGCTAATTCGTATGAATTCGTACGATCTAATTCGTACAATTTAGTACGATTTGCTTATCCCCCAATGACGGTTGAGGTTAGGGGTGGGGTCAGGTGCCACGCCTCCTTTTTAAAATTGTACCATTTCGTACTACTGAACTCGTACGAATTCGTACGAATTAGCCACTAAACTGGCAAAACGTAAAATACTTACGTTTTCTCGTGAGATCAGGCTGTCCCCACCACATGTGGAGTAATGTGACACCGCTCTGTTAAGGCTGATTTATACTTCTGTGTTGAATGCACAGGTATGGTCCAGCGCAGCTTGCGCGGTCACATACCCTAAATATTAAAAATCTTATTTACAGAATATGCAAGAGTTTTTTTTTTTTATTTTAAAAAGAGACTGCTTATTTTCACTTTTTTATGAGAAAAAGTGACTTGGTTTTGGCAATATGTGTTTTTAATTTTAGTTCAATGTTTAATGTTGATGTACAATAAATAGAGATAATGTGTGTTTTCTTCAATTATTTTAAAATCAAGTAATGCACTTCATTAAAAAATCTCTTACTTGTAATATGTGAGCATATTTATCATACAAAACCTGTCAGTAAACTATGATGGCAATAAATAAATAAAATAATTGTTCATTAATCATAATAGAGTTAAAATGTTCAATTAGTTGAGATTTTGATTTTACGCCAAAGCTCAGAACTTTAAAGTAGCGTACAGTTGACATAACTTTGTTTAGTTGCAGCAGTTTTGTTTCGTGCAGAAACACGATATTAAGAAGCTTTTACAATTAATTAACCATGGCCAATTAAAGCACGGTTAATGGTGAAATCGATTAATTGTTGCATCCCTACTCATGGGCAGATCAGCTGACCGATATGGCTTTGAAACATTTCATAAAGGCAGTGAAAAATGTCATTCCATTTTCATAGCACAACCTTCCAACTAGGAGTGTAAACATGTTTTTATGTATTTTATATGCATTGGGGCTGTCAAATAATGGAACCCAATGTGTTGTTTGCCTTTTCCATGTGTTAGATTTAGGAATCACAACAGTATGGCTTGTTTGGTTGATTGTAAACATTTATGACCATTTTGGAAAGATTAGTTTGCAAAAAATAAATAAAAATGCTTAACTTGTGCAGTATTTTGGCCCTGACACACCAAACCAGACTGTCAGGCCAATTCTGAACATCGGTTAGCTTAGTTTTTGCCTTGTTTTTCTCTCCATCTGCTGCACGGTTTAGAAAACAGGTCTGTGCATGAGAGTGAAGGTGAAAGTGGTGAAAACAAGCAAAGAATTGAATTGAAATGAAATGGAGCAGACAGAATGCTGATCTAATTTTGACAGCTTACCTGAGCATTTCGATATACAAAATATTCATAACCACATGAGCCATCTAGAATGAAGAATGTGATCAGCATTTTTTATTTTATTTTTTTAAATGGTAAACAAGCACTGTTCATAATTTTTTTGCAGTCATAGTTTCACTTTTCCTTTGTTAATAGGGGCCTATAGACTCTTGATTGCTGCTTCTTGAGACTGTTATTACCTTACATTAGCAGTCAGTACCTGCTAACTGGCTGCTGCCTGTAGTCTTTGCAGTATTTTCAAGCACAGCTTATTTTAGCACAGATGCGTGCGAAACAAGGTGACAGTTTTCGTTGGCTTGGTTTGTCAGGATCGTTATTCCCATGCTGTGCACCCTTCCTTCTGTTTTAGACCGCAAAAGAGTTATAATAAAATGCCTGCTCACTATGGAATGGCGACAAATATGAAGCTTGAAAAGAAATACTGAATGTTGAAAAGTATTACTGAATGTTCCCATATGACACACAACTCCATGATTGAATCTGGTGTGAAACAATCCGAAGATTAATTTATGGAAGTTTGTCTTCTGCTTTCAAGAGCACATTCCTGATACTCTACTTGAATGGCAGTTCACTCCAACTTACAAAGAACAAGCACTAGGCATTACAATAACACCATTAAATATAAATGATGACTTAATTATCATTATTGAGTGAACTATTTCTTTTCAAATAATGACATTTATAATTCAGTACCAATACTATGGTAATTTCTGCTGCCTTAGTCTAGTAATTATGGCCGAACTGTCATTTCTTATTGTTCATCCCATTTAACATTTCCAGAAACCATCAAAGAATTGCCAGTCTAAACATTTTGAGTTTTGGGACTATAAGAGCATTCATAAGGAATCCTGTTGCGTGATGTTGGCCTCTTTTGAGCCGCTTTTGTGGCAAATTCTCGAGAATCTTAGCTTAAGCTTTTCTCTGTTGTTAGGTGCTGATGCTTTACTTAGCATGACTGAGGGGGCGAAATGTTCATATTGAGTGTGAAGAATTTAATGATTAACTCTGACACACCAGTCACACTTTGCACCATGCAGACACTGCTTCCTGTTAACGTACTCACTTCCTCTTCCTGTTTCTCATAAGTCCCCTCATAATGCCCTGCTGAGGCTAGCTGAAAACTGACACTTAGACCAATTCTCTGTGGAATTTCAAGCTTTCTAAAAGCACGTTTGACATGTTTTGGTAGTTAGTAGTGCTGAACTGTTATAATGTCTTGTTGTGCTGCCTTTAGAGTTTTACATTTTTATTATCACTTGATGGTCCTCTTTAGTTAGCTGATTGACTGTGAGTGACTTTGAAGCTACATGTAATCTAGGAGTCAGTATTAGAATTTCTGACGATTATCTGCTGACACTCTTCTGAAAGACACTATATTTTGCAATAGTGTAAGTAACTGTGCACGTATGTCAATTTGTTCTGCTAACTCTAACCTAATAATCTCATAAGAGTTAGATGACATGTAGTAGCAAAGGTGCCGGAAAACCTTCAAAATAAAGTGTGACTAATTTTGTCATCAGCCTCTGGCACTTTTTAAATAGGTGTGATATTAATTAATGACTTGCAAACACAGTCGACTGCTGAAAATGTGAAGTATAACTTCTAGGGCTGGGAAATTTGGGAAAAAAAATATCTAATTGCGTTTTACTGACAGATATTGCGATTTCGATTTGATCTGTGATTTAGTTTTGTAATCAAGCTTCAGCTCATTAATCTGTATTGCATTTTCTTACTGCTAAAATGCATGTAGTGTTAGTTAAAAAAGGAACTGGAAATTTATTAACCTGCTCCAACATTTATTCAAATTTGTTTTTAAATATTCAGAAATGAAACTTCCTTTTTTTTTTTTAGAGCAAATGGTAAACAAGTAAAATGACCTTACCTTTCTGTAAACAAATTGAACTCAAATAAGGGAGATAGTGTAGCTTATTATAAAAACAAAACAATTATAATTATACAGAGCACTCAGCAAACTAACATGGCTGAAACATCTCTGAAATTGTAGTTTGCTGTTGCTTTCTACTAAGTGTCACCGACAATACTTTCAGTTGACTTTTTAGCAAGACACCCCTTCATGGGTGTCTTGCCTGTGGTGTT